AAAAAAAAAAAAAAAAAGTCTTCCTCCTCATACATGGATGGTGTGTATATGCTGCCGCATACCATCCAATTCCCTGGACAGACATTTATCTCTACAATGATATTTTCTCAATCCTAAAGGAACCTGTCAATTATATAACAATGTAGCAGGAAGTACATCCTCTCATCCTAGCAACAGTAGGATTATTTCTTTAGAAGGAATTATTCCAAATCTGTATTAGAAATTGTGAAATGTTTACATAGTCGTCTTCCCCAGCACTATCAAGGTACTGTGAGCACCAAGTATAGAACAGAACAGCCCAGCACTGGAGGAAAGGCTTACTTCAAGTTGCCTGATTGAAGACTCTCTCTCATGAATAAGGCGGAGGTCATCCTCTGTAATTTCTTCATCTTCTACCTGTACTTGAGGTTGTGTTTGGCTAATAAAAATAAATACAGAAAAAACACTTATTGCCCATTTTAAGACACACTCACTAAAGAGGACATTTTGTCCTGCAAAGTCAGAGTATTGTGCATTTATAAAAGTGCCACGGTGAGCTGGGCACTTGCCTGCACTCAGGAGGCTGAGACAGGAGGATCTGAAGTTTGACGCCAGTCCTGGCTACTTAGTGAGCTCCAGGTAGCCTGGGCAACACAGTGAGATACTATCTCAAAAAATATAATAAGTAAATAAATAAACTTCTAAGAATATAATTGATATATTACCCAAAAGTTACTCAATTTTCATTTTACTTGTGACTTACTCAGTTATTTAAAGCTACAGTTGGTAACTGGGTCTCTCTTCTTAGCTGATTTCAACTACATATAAGAGAATATTCTACACTAAACATTAAGTCAATACATATTTATTTATATTTTATAATAACTACTTCATAAATATTTAATTTTTCCAAATATACTGTTTTCAGTTTATAAATAATGTGATATTTATGTTATTATATAGTAAAATCATTATTCCACTTCATGGACTACAAAGTATAAAATGAGAAAAATTGTGATTTGATTTATCAAACTTTTTTACTTCTTACCTTTCCCAGGATACGAGGTTCTTTTCTTTTGCGCTATCTTCAGGAAAACCACCCTAAGAAGGTTAGTGAGAGGATGGATTGAGAAGAAGCAAAGGAAGCAAGAATAAGACAAAATAAACAACACTCACACTTTCCCTTAAAATAGTCCACAGTTTTCTATGTATGGTATCTGTGTGCATGTGCTTATGTATGCACATGTGTGTGTGTGGTAGGAAGGAGGGAGGAAGGGGGAGGTAAGCTGTTCTAATTTTCTATGTCAACTGCTCACACAAAAACAAAATTATATCTTAAGCTGACAAGGAAGGAATTCATCAGCTATTTGCTAGGACCGAATAATAAATATCATCTACCTAACATTTTGTGTCACTGTGAAGTCTCTACATTAAAGAGCTAAAAAAAAAAAAAAAAAAACCCTGGGGTTTCTGGGAATTTTAAAAAAATATAAGAAAAAAAGCACACTTGTAAAATGGCTGTGTTTTTGTATGTAAACTACACTATGTGCATTTGGTCCACTCTGGAGAATTTGTGATGCTGGCTACCACGAAGACGCTGTACATTACAAAAGTCATTACAGTGTGCTGCTAGGGGGACCATGACAAAAGAGTCTGTGCTCAGTGTAGACAAAGTTCACTAAAAAACTAAAAAAAAAAAAAAAAAAACCCTGTGGTTTCTGAGGAATTTAAAACAGTATTAAGTCAAAAGTCCACTTTAGATCATCGTTTCCCTCATCTCATATTCATTCCTGGTGTTCCCAAAGCACAAGCTCTCAGTTCATCGCCATCATCTCCATACAACCCAGGAGCGAGCAGTGCTCCACACTGGCATACATCCAAGTGCAGAGTCTCAGCACTGACTGCCATGAGAAGACCACATAGACTTGACCTCTAACCCTTTTTTGACAAAATAGGTTTTTATGTTTTTTATATAGTCTGTATTCTGTTGTTCTTTGGCAAGGGGAATAACTACAGTAATATACAACTAATTCTGAATCATTTAACAGAGATTCTTTCAGGTATTCATATTTAGATTTCTAAGATGGTCACAGAATTCTGTAAGTTCAAAAATCATGACATATAAGCTTCATGCCCATTTTCAGAATGCCTTTTAAATTACTTACAGATACTCTGGAACTGGCTCTTACTCGAGCAACAAATTCTTTCTCTCTCTCAGCAGCTTGCCTCTGGACCTTCTGAAAGTTTGTCAGTGATGTTGTGAATTCAGCCACTAGCCGGTCCTTCTGTATCTTTCTCTGACGCTATAGGGAAAAGAAAAAAGCCTGCTGACTCAAATTGTGAAGTTCACTGCTTTACCACTGGGTGGCTCTTCGTTTAATCCTAAAATTTTCCCTCACTCCCCCGTCAGAGCCTCGAGGGACATGCTGACAGTGTGTTCACCACTGTGCACTTGCTGGAGCTCTCACCTCAGACTTTCATAGCTGCTAAGGAGTCATGATGTTGAGGTTATTTTCCCAAGTATTTTTTTAGGCAAATAAAATGTTATACTCTTACCTACATAATAACTTGCAATAAGTAAGTAAGGAGGTAAATACGAGCCCTGAGGCGCATCATGAGTGTGCTTGCTGAGGAGGGAGCCCTGCAAAGCTGGGAAGCAATTACACAGGAAGTATTTTCTTAGCACACCCTTAATTACAGGTCAGGGCAGCTACATGAAAATAATTTTTGCTTTATGGAACCGCACGATACTACCTGAGCAACTAAGTATAGTTTTGTGTTCTGGTAAGTAATCTCAAATACAATTTTTTCGTTCCCTAATTTCCTTTCTAGAATCATATTTCAAAGATCTGACAGTGCATTTAATTTCTTTCACATTTAGTACATCAAAACATGTGTCTTAAAGCTTGACACCTGTTCACTGGGGGTGGTAGGCAGAGATCCAAACTCTTTGATGTACTTATCTGTTTCTTTGGCAAGCTGGTTAGTATATTGCTGCTTCTGTTGCCTAAAGTGAAAAAAAAAACATGCATTACAGCCAAAGACCTAATATATTTAAGCTAAAACTCTGCTACTTGCATCAACCATGATGAATGGTTTTAGAAAAACTAGTTTTATAAAAGTATTTATAGCTTTTAAGTATAAAAGTACTTATAGTTTCATGAACTGGCTTTCAGTTTCTTCTTTTTGAACCCAAATCTTTAGGTTCTATCTTTTGATAAATACTAAGAAATATGACATAGATGGTTCTTCATTCACCTAGGGTAACCAAGCTTTGAGAAATAATATCTGAAATAAATATGAATCGTTATCTCATTAAAAAAGATTTTATCAGTTAAGCTTGGGGAAGAAAAACTAATGGGATTTCCTTATAAATAGAACTGAACACAACAAAAGTGACACATTGCACCCACACCTATATTTTCCCACCTATCTTATAAAGCATGGATTTTCATGAAAAAGTCAATATTCAGCAAAATAAGCTTGCATTGAAGTGATGTTTAGAAATTACAACGAGTGCCTCTCCTGTGTATCACTTATTTTACATAAGATCTGACTACAGTGAGATCTCCTCTGCCTTCTTTATATATATAAAAATTCACATAAGGAAATGAGAGAGATCAGATGTACCTAACAACATCTAGGAATTGGACAGAAAACAATCTCTCTATCTCAGCTGCCCTTCCAGGCATGCAACACAGATAAAAGCACCCCACATCTCCAGTCTCTCAAATACAAAGGACCAGATAGCCAGCACTGTCCTGGTTAAATACCCTTCTTATTGGAGTTAATTTTCATTTATAGCTAATAACTTTTACTCATAGGTGATAACAATTCATATTTATAAAAAGATGCTTAGGAATAGACCTGTATTGAGCTAGTAAAATAGAACAACAGCCGACTTATATCTCTAGACACCAAGTACCTAGCTTGGATATGCTTTTCTAAATCTTTGTAATAGAATAGTCAAAGTACCAAAAAGCAACCTCAATGATTATGTCTATTTATTCAGAATGTCCATTATTAACTATGCCAAAGCAACACAACTATTTCGTATATATATTTCCATTCCATTTTCTTCTATAAATGGCTTATTAGCTTTAATTACCTTCTGACACCTATCTCTGCAGAAAAATAAAGCATAAATTACAGACAACTATAAATTATTCAAATTGTACTTCCTGAAATATGAATTACTATTAGCCATCTTTGAATATCTTCTTTGTGATTTCCTTCTAGCTAATGTTGTATGGACATAATGCTGAATATGTATGTATATGTGTAATGTACGTGTGTTTGTGTATGTGTACCGTGTGTGCGCATGTGTGCATGTGTGTGTGTATACCACTTGTAATCTGTGGCTATTAAAGCACTGAAGATTTAAGAACTTTTAAAAATTATTTATGTAATAACCACATGATTAGAAGAAGCATTTCATTACAGCATTAACATATTCAATAACAATTTCCAGAGCAAATATAGTTATACAACATTTAACTAAGTACAAAACCTGTTTATACTGTATAAAATTGAATGAGTTTTTAACCCTTAAAAATGATCTCCATTTCATTTTAAAATACACTGTTTCATACACAAAAACTCATTTTTCATGCTGCTAACATATATTTTTGCACTGCATCTCTAATCACTATGTATCTAATTATTACTAGTCACAGTCAGTTGCTTTCTGAGATCCTTGGCACCTGAGCATGGATATAAAGTCATCATGTAGATTTCAATGGTGATGTTTTTCACCTCTACTAATTAACATGAAACAAAATTTTATGCTTCTTCCTCAAATATAGCTCATTTTATTTGTTGATTTTTTGTGTGTATATTTCATACAGAACATCCCAAACAATCTTATTCATCTATATACCCACATCCCAAATGGCACCCTCCCATAGCCTCCCCACCTCCAACTGCAGCCCATATACTCTGTCATCCCTGCTACTGTCTGCTGTGTTGTCAGCTCCCCACACAGCTGTTCCCCAGTGCTTGTCCACCTGCTGAATCTAGTCAGAATATTTAGAGTTCCTTGTTTTAGGAAGATCACCTAGCAGCAATCAGTTGCCAATATTCCTTTAGATAAGATTGGGGTCTGCTGTTCATTTTTCCAGTTCATTGCTGGGTTACTGTCTGGGAGTCTCTTAGGCGACCCTGGCCAACAACTCAAAGGAAGGTATCTCCTGTCTGGCATTGTTTCTTGTTATGTAGCCTTTAGCTATACCTGGCCAACAACTCAAAGGAAGGTATCTCCTGTCTGGCATTGTTTCTTGTTATGTAGCCTTTAGCTATACACATGGACTCTTAAAGAATTATATTGATCCCTTTAATCTTTGGTTATACTTTCCTTTTGGGTGTTTAAGACCAAAAAAAAAGTAGTAGTTCTGAGTAATATTGGGCAAATCATCAAGCCCCTAAGACACAGATTTTTTCCTTTTGAGATTATAGTTATAATTCTTTATAACTATGGTGTTCAAAATCTACAAGGTTCAGATGAGAAAAGATGAAGCACTTTAAAATCTATAAAATACTAAAAGTGCTTCTGTTTTTCTATCAGCATATCAATTCACTGGAAATGCATTATATATTCTATAACACACACACACATATATATG